TCCGGACCCAGTGGCTTGAAACTCACGCTGGGCACGTGTGCATGTGTGCCCAAAAATTCTGAGAGGAGAATGGAGAAGGCAGTGTGGTGTAGCCATACACTGGTCTCCCTGGCAAGCGCACATGCTCTTTAGCAAAAATCTCTAATAATAATAATTATTATTACAGCTGGTATGCCAAACCTTAACCCTGTACTACTCTTAACTGAAGACTTTCTCAAACAATCACAAGATAGAAAGGCTTCCTGTAACTGCTTTCTGCCAGATGAAGGGAAGGGGTAGAGAGAGAGAGAGAGATGGCTCCCACAACAGGATTTCTTAACCTGTTGTTTGTAACTTGTCAGCATTCCACAGGATCTGCTGATGGTACAGAAAACATGGGGACATTTCGGTCAATCTTAGAACCAGTTTTCCTGATAGGCATCTATTTTTCCTTCCTAGACAAACAACTGCTCAGGCCATTTTTTCATTTGAATTCAAGCTACACTACTGAAAACTTCTAGAAAGCTTATCACTGGTGAGAAAATAAAGCTCATTTTTATTTCTTACTTCTTAATAAATTAACTTTGAGCTTATTAAGTTAGATAACACTACCAAATGAAAAAAACAAAAACAAACACAAAAACAAACTGAAGTATGCCCTGAAAAGGTAATTTTACATGCCCTACCACACTGTCAAACAACCCAACTGCTTTTTCTTCTCCTCTAATTTATCATCTTCTATATACTATAGAATTTATTAATGATCACTGTTTATGCCAATTTATAAGCTGAACTAGACTTTAATTGGTAAGTTGAACTAGACTTTTCAGAAATTTCTCCAATGCATTCAAGTGATGTCTATAAGATAGCATACGCTGAAAGTAATTTTAGATTTCACTCAATAAAAAGTAACATTTTGGGGCTGGCAGGTGGTATGGTAGTTGAGGTGCTGGACTCCTACATGGCCAACCATGGTTCAAGTCCCGGACCTGGCAGCTTGCTTTCTCACTCTCCCTTTCTCTCTGTTTTCTCTTTCTCTGGTCAAAATTAAAGTATAATGATAATAAATAAAATTAAAAATAAATAAATCTTTTTAAAAAAGTAGAAAAGCAACATTTCAGCCATAATGATTTTCAAATCAATGTCTGTAAAACCAAAACTAACTATGATTCAAATCCTGGTCCTGGGCACTTGAAAAACATGCCTGGCACATGTACATGTACATACAAATCCCAACTAAGTAGAGAAATAGAGGAGAAGGGATTGTGGCACAACCATGCCCCATTT